TTTTTTCCTTATTAAGTGATTTCGACTACTATATAAAGGAGTGACTTCCTCCTTTGAAATCACGCTACTTTCCAACGTTTTCATATTTGTTTGAAATTTATCTCTGTAATTTTTTTCCCTTCTCTCACTAATAATTCTAAACAGTCTGTTTGTGGTATGAAGGTTGATTAGCTATGGATAGGTACAAGTGTTGTTCCCTTGCATTCCTTGATGTCTGAACTGATGTTGGAACATCATCTCAGTTGGTTGCTTCTCCATCCAAGGAAGTTTGTTTTGTTCGAGGTGGAGTGTAAGGTAAAGCCACTGATCTAATCTGGAGTATTATGTGGGTTGTATATTTGTCATGAATATTTGGTACGATGAAGAATTCACTTGTGCTAAGTGGTGTGCAGAAGAAGGATGACAGACCAAATGTTCTACCTAGTGTGAGAAGGTAGTATTATTTGTTGTATGTATTTCTCAGAGGGAACTGTGAAGAAAGGAACGTGAGAAAATTTTCCTCTAATGATGTTGTGCATTTAATTGATGACAAATACTTTGACGAGAGTTGATTATTTCTTTGATGTGTGTGTAAGTATGCAATCTGAACTCTTTGTTTCAGAGAGTGTGTGAGAGTTTATTTCTCTCCATGGTATTTAGGTGTTTGTGATTACCTGAATGAGCTATATTGTATGTGTTTTATAAGGATTTGATGTCCTAAATGATGTTGTGACATCATGCTTGTTGAAGATGCTTGGGATTGTGGATTAGAATGAGAAGATTATGATCTTGTCTACGGTAGTATGCTTGGTGAATACATAACTATTATATTTAATACTTCATTAGTATCAGCAATTGCTAGTGGAAGTAAGGGCAGAGGAATATTGTCAGATATTATGGTATGATCAGAGAGTTTTTGGAGGTGTTCTCCTTCTGATCAGAATGTTAGTTTGGATCTCAGTAAATCCTTTAAGCAAACTGAGAGTTTTTGGAGTTGGTAAAGACACATAAATAGTGCATGACATCTTGCCCCCCATAAGAATCACGACAACATGTGTGGATCTGTAAGGACATTGTTCAGATGTGTTCTGGTTAAAGTGAAGAAGTTATAAATGTATTCTCAAGGAGTGAGAGTATCTAATTCAGAATCGACTATACAGTGGAAGTTTGTGTTCAGCTGAAGCATTGTTTATCCATAACAGGGAGAGTCAAGTTTTTTTTTTGGTCTTTGGATTGTTACTACAATGATGCAGATTTCTTGAAGCTTGCGTATTGTTCAAGATTGTGGAGTACATATGTCTCTTTGGAAGATTGTGTTTGTGTCCGGGAGAATTTATTTTTCTCTGCAGATTTTAGTGGGACTCAATAGATGTCCATGTTGATGAATGAGAGTTGTCACACATGTGATAATGTGATATTTTGATTTGTGTTGGCCAAAAGAAGTATTCGTAGAATCCAGTAGAAGACGTTGGGATTATGCTTCAGGATATTTGAATATTTTTGTGATTTCTTTTGTTGGTAATTTGGCTACAAGAACAAGCAGACAATGTCTGACTTGATGTTAGAACTTTTTTTAGGACATGTTTTCTCTTTGAGCCAAACAAGGGAGTATTATGGACGGTGTGATCAAGCACGTGTCAGAAAGGAGTGCAGAGAGTTTTTGTCAACTATGCATGCGTACTTATTGGGACTATTAGGTTCAGGAAAATCTATTTAGAGTCAATAAAGGCATTCAAAACTGAGATGGATGGTGCACATTTACTTTTGGTGCAGTTAGCTTCCTCAAATAACGTTCCTTTTTTTTACCAAGACCATTGTTACAATCAAGGATCGTCAATTCTTAAAGAACTGCTCAACTATTTAAAGAGGTTATTCCGTTTCTTCTATTATCTTGTGATAATTTCTCTTTCAAAACTCTTATGGCTTTTATCCGTGTTTGGGTGAGTACAATTTGGGTATGGTTTTGTGGAAGATTTTCTTCTCAAGCTTTGGCTAAAAAGAGGGAGAAAGGTATTGGTCATCATTTGTGTGTTGTGTTTGCTCTTGCAGTTGTTTTGCAAGGATGTTTAACAAGATGTCTCAACATCATGTCTGAGTCTTGCTTCAATCTCTGTTGTTTTTATGTCTTATTTATCGATGAATATTCAGATAAGCTTTGTGAGTAATCACTAGGTGAACCCATAAACTCATCACCAGTAATGTTTTCCGTTATACCTGAAAAGTAGAGGATAAAAGTGAATTCGACATCAAAATCAAATTCACCCTTCCACTGCTAATCAAGTGAAAGGGCACAAAGGAACAAGGACCTTGTCCCCGACCTGAGCCCTCACTCAAGATAAAAAACTGACTATTTTATCATATCCGCACCGAGCAAGAACACAGGCTCTGCGAGCAGCTATCCCCTCAACACTTTTGGGTTGAAGCCACTCTTGGAGATTCATCGTTCCTCATGAGAATCATAGCAAAAACCCAGAAACAGCCTCAACACCGCCGAAGATTTCACCACGAACTACCGTAACCAACCCTACATTCAAAGCGTCTCACCGTCCTCATGCGACGAAACCACTGTCTAGAGCCAATAATCCGCCTGGGATTCTCACACTAAGTTTCTCTAAACCCTAGCAACATGAATTTCTAAGAAAGGAAGAAGAAATTATGACCTATAACAGAAGAAAATGCTATAAAAACAGGGGAAAATCGAGAAACTCACCAAATTATCAAACGTTTATCGGTGGAGTACGCGGAAAACACAACGGAAAACAACGGAAGGAGAAAGGGCTTCGAAGAACAACGGTGTCAGGCAAAAATAAGCAGCGACAAGCATAAGGAGAACAAGCGAAAAGTGCAAATAAAGCTCCCTCTTCGCCTTTTATAAAGCGACTTGTTAGCATGTGAGCGGGCACGCGCCAAGGGAACTCTAAGAAACATCATCATTGCACCCTAGCTCATAGGCTAGCCATCATTACGCCTTTATGACAGTACGTGTCTTGATGCAAACATGGCACGCAAACTCCCAAAATTCCAATTAGTTGTTCCTCTCCCAAAAAGGCGAACACGCCAAGCATCACTTGTGCTCCTCGTACGAAGCCGACCACAAAGCACCTCCATTTCGCGAGCATGTCTTAAAGTCTTCGCTCCTCTTCCCAAAAGCAACGACTTGGGGGACTCCTGTTCTGGACTGACCCAATGAATATAATTAGCCTAATCCACTTCTGCCTCAACATAACCCAAACAGTTATGACCCACTAACTTTGATCCCATGTCGAGCATACTTGATCGACCACACTAGGGAATATCAGAGACTACAACGCCATGGTCATGCGCCTGCACACATCAACGATCGATTCCATGTCAGCTCGCCACTTGTTGAGCAGACAACCAGGAGGGCGCTCGAAACGCGTCCGCCCGTCGTCTCACCCTTGCTCGAAACAACAATTAGTTACGGACATGACTGCCCGTTTTGACCAAGTCCTGACAGTTACCTATTTTTGCGGACCCGAATATCTAGGTTCAAAAATAAGAACCAATGACTACGCGCTGGGGGCATTATATAAATCCTCACACTTATGAAGGTCAGGTATCCAATATTGACTCACAAAATCCTAATCTCTTTCTTATATCTCTTTGCACTCTTTCTCACTAGATCGTCGAAGTGTCTTGCAGGTACACCATCTCCTCTCTACAAATTTATAGCCTAACAAACGTCATCAATTCGGTCCACTTTCAGATTCCGATCAATCGATAAGATCAAACTCTATCAAAACAACTTACCACAAATAACGCTAGACTTGGTAATATCTCTCCAAATACATGAATGGTTCCTTACAAACATGACCAATATATTTTAAAAAATAATTGATATTGTTATTTCTCATTCAAATAATTTGTTTCAAATCAATTTGTTAGATTTAATAATTATTTGATATTTAAAAAAAATGAGAATAGTTGTAATATATGAATTACATTTCTTATACAAATCATATAGGAGATATGAATTTATTTAAAATATTTAAAAAGACATTGATATATTTAAAAAAATAATTGACATTGATTAATATAAAAAAAAAATAAGAGACATGTATTTAATAATGATATATAAAAATATTTAAGATCGAGACATTAAAAATTGATTGAGTAAATATTTTTCAGTAATAAGTATAAAAAAATACTAGACAAATATTTTCGCTTATATAAAAAAAAAGCATGAGATGAATATTTGTTATTGAATAATTAAAATAAAAACGGGACGACAAATTTATCATCAATAAACATTTGAGAAACTTAAAATTTATAAAAATTAATATTAATAACTTGGTGTACGTAATAAATAACCAAACTACAATAATTATAATCATGTCTTACTGTTTTATAAAAAATATATTTTGTATTGATTATCTTAACTATGTCAATTAACCTTATATTAGATTTTTTTAATCAATCAAATGTATAACATTATTTTAGTTATGCTTGAAACAACTCACTAGAGTAAAATGTATACAACTTTTTTTAATGAACAAATACAAATTTGCCAAAAAAATATTATAGCAATGTTAAATACTCGTATCTAAAAATTGAAAATGTATTTTAGAGATGAATCCTTATAAAAAATCAAACTCGAATTTTGGGTGGACCAATTTTAACAATCTTTATCTACTTTCGGATGATCTTTATCTACAAGACCTAAAATTCTTGAACAATTTGTAGAACATATGATTACATTTTTGGATCTGCAGCATAAAGTTCTAGAATATAAGGTGATCTAGAAGTAGAGTGTAAAAAACAAATAAAAAATGGAACTAAAAATGAAGTGTTTGGGGTTATTGATGAATAAGAACCAGTCAGTATTGACTAGGTGAGGAAATTGAATGATTTAGTGTCTACACTTACATTAGAATAACCTAAATAGTTAGATTAATGTGTTATACCACAAACTATACCGCATAATCTGCAACCCGAATTCAACAACCGAAATTTGGCCGTCGTTATGCACTGCACGCATTGGAGCTTAAATCCTCATTGACCTACAAGTTTAGGTCTGGGAGAACAAATTTAGGTTCTTGCTTACAAATCTCAGAGATAGTAGCTGTATTAGTGTTATGTTGTGAATCAAAATCAAGCTGTTGCAAAAGATGGAAACGTATTAGATTTTGATTTAATGCACCATATTAGATCCAAAGTAATGCAGCAAAAAGTTCAACAAAAAGATAGAAGAGAATAAGAGAGGTTACCTTCATTCTCTTCAATCTTTCATTTGTTGCTTTCTCTTTTTCGACAGTGAGACGCAAAGACACCAGTTCCTGTGGAGAAGTTCAAGCAATATTAGTTAATAAACAAATCTAAACAAATGCAATATTGCCAATTTGAAGTGCTGAGACACGACGTATGAACCGATGAAAACAACTATAGATCATACATTTTTCAAGTTTATCCTTTCTTTCAACAACAAACTCTCCTCCTCTCTTAATTCAGCTAAAGTCTGCAAATACAATAAGCATAGTCAAGATATGTTAAACATGTAACTAAAAGCAAAGGGAAACAACACTTATAGTTTACATAACTCAAGCACTCTTGTAAAATTAGATTTATGAAATGTTTCAATCAGTTTATACAAAACTTTACTCACCTTTTTTCTTTTCGAGTTTTTGGTAGTAACTGTTTCCTTTTGATTACAGACCTACAAAATACCAAATATGGGAAGATTAAATTTGAGACATTATATTTTAAACTCAAATTATCATAGACAAATATGAGATCAAATAATACAAAAGTACAATAATCTCGTAAATTGTCCCTTCTTTTCTATTTGGTTTCCAATAGAAAAATTCTTTTTTTCAAAACAAATCAGAAACAAAAGTTGAGGATAATTTAACTCATGATGATCTCTTATGCTTTCCTATAATAAATATATATATATATATATATATATATATATATATATATATATATATATATATATATATATATATATATATATATATATATATATATATATATATATATATATATATTCATAAGATGTAGATTAGAAATTATTAAAAAGTGTGTTTGAAAAATGGATGGAGTGCTAATATAGAATGATAACTAAGTAGATAGATGGGCTTCATCAACCCATTTTATTTGGTGAGAAATTAAGGTGGTCCCTATTGGTGGCATTAACAAGGACCCTCCCTCCCTTTAATTTCCAACTTCCTTGTCTTTTTTAAGAGGTTGTTACTTAGCATATTCCTTCCATTTTTTTTTGTCTATTTATTTTTGGACTCTTTTTTTGACTTTAGACATGTATATCATAAGAGACATGTGTCATCTTCAACACACGTGACAAACAACTACTTAATTAGTACTATTTTTTTTTTTGGTAATGTAATTAGTACTAATTTATTTCTCCACAAATATAGCAATTAGAGCATTAACTAATTATTTGAAATTGCAATGGTAACCAACCAAAAAAGTGCACAACCACTACACCAAACAAAACAAGAGGAATAAGTTATTTGCCACGAAAACACGCCACCAAAAAACTATGGTATAAAATTGTGGCACCAATGAAATTTACTAGATTACCCTTTATAGGTGAATCTATCGCATCCCAGTGACCAATGGTGACAAACCCAACCCATTCAGTTTAGCCCCACAACACAAATAACAAATTCAGTTCAGTTCAAACTTGAAGTTTCCTTCCGACAAAAATGCCCTCCAAATAAAGGACTGTTTCGTCATTGAATAAAAAGTATGACACGTAGTTTTGAGGAAAAAACGTGAATCAATCCTCAGACTTCAATTCATTCTTTGTTGAGACTTGAATCCGAAGTCACACCTTTTCCCTGAATTTATTAAATTAAAATACTCTTTTTCTTACAACTATTGAATAAATAAAAAAGTTAATGTTGAAATGAAAGTTGCACTTTGTTAACGTGACAGCGGTTACAGTTACCGACAACCGGACGAGACAGCGGTTACGGTTACCGACAACCGGAGGATAGGCACCGGTATTACAAGGGTAGAATCGTAAATCTAATGGAGGTGAAGAAAGTGGCGTTTTCGTGATTGAAAAAGAAACTGCCACACTTGTTACATGTCTACGACTACTACAGTTTCTTTTCAACTATGGATCACACTCCGAACACCATTGAGAGACGGAAACACAGATAATAAAAAAACTAAGGTACAGGGTTCTGACACAGCGCTGGAAAATTTAAAAACGGAAAATGAAAGAGGAGATAAACGATGAATGAAGTGAGAGTTAGCGAACCTTAGATCTTGATGTTTTGGTGAGTTTTGTTGGGAGGCTAGATTCTTCACTGGCAGAGGTGGCGGCGGCGCTCCATGTAAGTGGTGTGGTGGGGCTGGCTCTCGTGACGTCAGGCTTTGGGAGGAACCGGGAGCGAGGTTGGCGGACGGTCCAGTGGAGATGAAGTGGTGGTGGCGGTGGTTGAGGGAGGTTGAAACGGAGGAGAGTGTCGGCGACGATGGAGTCGTCGGCCAGGGCTAAGTTGACCCAGTCACGGTCGCACATCTGGTGGAAAATTGGAATGAGAGGAGTGGAAGGTTTGAGGTTGTTTTTATGTCTATGATGAGATGAATGTGTTGTTTTATGTTGTGGTGCGTGGAGGACTAAGAGACAGTTTTGTGAGAGAAAAAACACCCAAACCTCTTTCACTTGTTTCTTTATGTGTAAGAGAGATTATTCTACCTGGTCCCACCTTTTTGCACGTGCCAAACCCAGTCCTTTCTTTTCTTATATTGTTTTTCTTCTTATTTTGCTTCCTACACAATCCTTATAAAACAAAAATAATGTATCAATATTAGAAACACTATAAGAAAAAATTTGGTGTGCGATTTGTTTTAATGATGTGATTATTAATGTAATGAAAAATTGTTTGTTACGATGTTATAATCACGTTATTATATTTTTTTAATATTAAATATAATAGTCGTTAATTTATTACGTGAAATTTCATATTTTTTATTATTAAAAAATAATTACAGCGTGTTTATCACGTCGTAATTTTTAAATTAAAAAAATAAATAAATAAAAAAGGTTTGGCGCTCTAAAGAAGGGAAGTTTGAAAATTTTATAAAATTGATTGCGACGTGAAAATCACGTCACAAATATTTAAGAGGAAAAATATTTGACTTTGAACTAATGGGGTGTAGAGTGATTAATGATGGTTTCTGACTCTTGGGTGTTGCGACGTGATTTTCAAATGACAAAGTTGCGACGCGATAATCACGTCACTGATAGGTTAATTGATATATGACCATTGTGGGTTGCGACCTGAATATCACATGGGAAATTTGCGACGTGATATTCACGTCGCTGATATGTTTATATACTTAATACATTTTATTCTCCAAAAATGTACTGTTTCTCATAATTTTTCATTCTTTCTTCTTCTTCCTTCTAACCGTTCTTCTTCTCTCACTCCCCACTAATCTTTCAATTATAATTCCAATTTTCAATTTATTACTCAAGTATCAGGTATAATTTCTTGTTCTTCCATATTTTTCAATTTAATTTATTAATTATATTTAATTTTTATATTTATTCTGATTTAGTTAAAATTTTGTTATTTTTTATCAAAGATTAAGTAATATTGAAGGAATTCATTGGTAGTAGATTGAGCAATATTAAAAAAGATTGAAGGAGATTGAAGAAGAGATATTTTAATTGTTTATTTTTTTTAAAATTTTTTTATTGAATTATTGTATTTTAGTTGTGTTAGTTATTTTTACTTTTTTTTGCTATATATATTTTTAAAATAAATATATAATATATATTTTGATAAAACAGAAAAAAAACAAAATATTTATTTATTTTTTTAAAATAGAAAATATATAATGTATTTTAAAAACAGAAATACAATATATATATATATATATATATATATATATATATATATATATATATATATATATATATATATATATATATATATATATATATATATATATATATATATATATATATATATATATATATATATATATATATATATATATATATATATATATATATATATATATATATATATATATATATATATATATATATATATATATATATATATATATATATATATATATATATATATGATAAAAATTATAACATTATATGGTTATAAAATAAATATAGTTATAAAAATTAAAAACAAAATAGTGTGAAATAGTATTTTTTAAACATAACATTTAAAATCATAAAATATATGATAATTATATGTTATGTAATATGTTTATTATAATAGTTATTTATAAAAAAAAAACATTAAATATTATATGTTTATTAAATGTTTAGTTAAAAAACAAATTTTTTATGGTTAATATATTTGATATGTTTATTAAAAATGTTTAGTTAAAAAACAAATTTTTTATGGTTAATATATTTGATATGTTTATTAAAAATGTTTAGTTAAAAAAAATATAACTTTTATGTTTAATATATTTATAATTAAAATATATTAAAAATATCATGTGAGAATATATTATATATTAAAGAGTATATAATTTGTTGATATATTAAAATCACATTTGTAATTAAAAAATATTAAATTTATTGTAAATAAAATCAAATTTGTTTATATATTAAATGTTTATGGTTAATGTTTATTTATAATTAACATGTTATGTGAGAGTATATTATATATTAAATAGTATAAAATTTGTTGATATATTAAAATCATAGATGTAATTAAAAAGACAGTGATTGTACAAATGTGTAGTATGAAATATTATCGGTATGGTCGTAGTTGGATGTACGATAGATTTTATTCAAAAAGATGTGCACTTAAACCTCATTTTATAGAATGAGCTAATGAGTTTATCATGTGGGCGTTTTGCTCAGGAATATTGTTGAAGCGGAGGAGGAGTTAGGTGTCCCTGTCTTAAATATGAATGTAGACCAACAATTAGTGACCCGGAGAAAGTAACACGTCATTTGCATAGAAGTGGTTTCATTGAAAGTTATTGGGTTTGGACGTATAATGGTGAAAATTATTGGGTTTAGATGTATTGGATTTGTGACGTGAAAATCATGTGGCAATTGAGAAGTCGTGGCATGAAAATCATGTGGCAATTTTTTAAATATAATATAATATAATTTAATTTAATATATATTTAACTTAATTTTTTTATTGAATGTGTAGGAGGATTGTCAGACATTGCTCATAAATTTTCTGATTCATAATCATCAATATACTCCGGGAGAGGGAGAGTCATTTCATCCAGATGTGAATTTTTTATTTGAGATCAAGTCATTGGCGGAAAAGACCCTAACGCTTGTTTTTTTGGTGGTGGAAATTTGGCAGGCACCTTAGAAGTATGGATAGAACTCTATTTCAAAGAGTTAGAGATGGGGAAGGAGGATCACGTCAACCAAATTTGACACCAGAACAACTTGAAACGGTAAGACAATTGGCGTTAAATGAGGCGACGCGAGTCAGCGCAATGTGAGGCAGCAATGAAGGCTCAAATGGAGGCCCAAATGAAAATAATGAGGCAAGAGCAACAACGACAAATGGAGGTCATGACGAAGAGACAGACTAATATGGAGCAGCAAATGAGACAACGTATGCAAGGATTTGGTGGAAATCAGAACGTTCGTGGTCAAGAGCCGGAGAATGACAGAAACGAAGATAATTTTCACATTGATAAATATACCAACCAAAATGACTCGTAGAATTAAATTTTTTATTTTGCTTTCAAATTTGAATTTGTGTAACATACTAATTAATTAAACCTATTTAGTATATTAAATTAAGAATTCTTAAATTTATAATTTTAGTTTATTAATTTTATTATATTAAATTTATTATATATTAAAATTATTAATTTAGTTTATTATATATTGAATTTATTAATTAATTTTATTAATTTAATTAATTATAAAAAAATCATCAATTAAATTTAAAAAAAAGAAAAAGAAAAACATTAGTGACGTTATTTCCGTGTCACAAAGTTGTGACATATAAATCACATCGCAACTTATTTTTTTCAATAAAGAAACAAAAGTTGAATAAACGTGTAGTGATGATAATTGGAATAAACTAGTGATGTGATTTTCATGTCATAAATTAGTGACTTGAAAATCACGTCGTAACTTAATTTTTTTCATATAAAAAAACAAAAGCTTAATAAAAATGTGATTGTTAAATGTAATTAATTAGTGACGTGATTTTCACGTCACTAATTTATGACGTGAAAATCACGTGGTAAATAAAGTGATGCTTAGATTTTAATTCCTGTTACGCCTGTTTCTACTGCAATTTCAGAATTTCTATGCAAATATATTACGACGTGATTTTTACGTCACAATTTTATGACATAAAAATTATGTCGTAAAATATTTACCATCTACTCTTTAACTACATGATTGTTCACATCACAAATTAGTTATTGTGACATGATTTTTCACGTTGTAACGTGAATTTCATATCGCAAATAAGAGTTTTTTTATAATGAAAAGAACAATAATTTTTTTGTCAGAGTGTTTAAAACTTTGTTGAATGAATGAAAGTTGTTATTAGTTAGTGCCAAAGTTCTTTGCCATCAACATTATATAATGGTGAAGTGAAGACACTTTTTTCATTAAAAGTGGTAGGGAAATTTCAACGAGAATTATAGAAGCACTCTTTAAAAAAGATAGTAATTATATAAAAATGTGTTAATTCAATACCTTGAATTTTTAAAATATTTAATTTTTTTAAAAAAATTATTTGAAATTCTTAAAAAGTGTCTTGGGAGCGTTAGTAAGATTCCAAATATTATACATAAATTTGAGTATTTTAAGTATTGTAGTTTGAGATATTCATGATGAGAAAGAATGATCAAATTATCTCCATTAATTGAATGAATGTAGATGTGTAGGGATGATAAAAAAAAACCTACCCGCGGATATCTGTAGTTAAAATCTATCACGAATATGGGGTGGATAAATTAATAGATATTTATGGATAAAATTAATAGATATTTAAATACTCGTTTAGTAATAAATATGTATACAAATTTAATAATATCAATGTTTGTGGATATATGTATCTGTTAATAAATTATAAGAATTAATTAAACATTAATTTATTATATTATGTCTTTTTATCTTCTAAAAAACTACTCTTCTCATATATATTGAAGTTTTCATTAAAGAAAAACTTTTGCATTCCATATAAATCATGTCGACAATTTCATATTTAAACTTCTTCTTTACTTTGTAGTTCATACCTCATTTCAATACTTCTACCGTCCAACCAACCACTTTCCATTACAACAATAAATAATGCTTTTCATGACGAAATTTTCACGTCAATCAGAAAAAAAATCGAGGTTTTTCACCAACGTGTCCCATATAATTATTTTTAAAAAAAACAACTTGAGCCCTCGTTTATCTAGAAAACCGCGGTGAAATATCATTTCGGACAAGCTTCGAATCTCAACTACGACACTTTATGTTTCTATTTGTAAAAGTGTAAAATAAATGATCTAACCCTTCGGTTTTGCTGGAAGCCGAGGGAAAATGTATTTATA